AAAAATTAGGAACTGAGTTTGTATTATCCTATAGGTAAATAAATAAATGTTATCAGAGCTCCTTTTTATATTAAATTTAGAAGTGATAATCTAAATTATTAAGCGTCAAATATTAGTTCATGTGATAAAGTAAAGTAATTTATGGTCTATATACCTATATAGCCAATCAATCAAATGTATTAAAATTATGATGACCAAATTCAAAATTATATAGTGGGTTCACATTAAATATAATTTATAAAGAACAATATAATAAAGTTAAAATCCTTTTAACCACTATATAGATCGTTTAAATTTTTTTACATATATAAACTATACTGACTACGAATAGTGATGTGCTTACTTAATTATGGCCTAATACATCTTAAGAACGACTTACTCTTTAATATCATCATTAATTGACGTATCCATGCACTACACTGAAAACACAATAAAAATTTAGAAAAGTACAAAAGAAACACCCTCAAAATCTTTAAAAATTATATAAAAAATACCCTAAAATTTTATAATTTACAAATACACAAAACTATTAAACATTACATTAAAATTAAGGAATTATAAAAAATCATTAAAATTTTTTAAATTTTGGAGGGATAATTTGCAATGTACTAAACTTTAAGGGTGTTTTTTTGTAAATTTTAAATTTAATAGATTTTTAATTAGTTATGTTATTTTCAAAAAAGTTATAGGTAATACAGACCATAAAAAGTTTTTTCTAAACCTATACTTTTGAAGGGAGTATGATATTTTTTGTAAATTTTTAGTTTTCTAGGATTGTTAGTAATTTTGTATATTCATTTTAGTGTCTATAGGTTAGAAATTCTCATATTGTTTTATATAAATTTTGAAATTTAGGGGTTTTGCAATTTTTTTAAACTTATAGCCTTTTCTACAGATTGTAAATTGTTTATAAACTATTTATAATTCCTATATTTTTAATTTACTAATGAGTTTGAAATTTTGAGGATGTTTTTTGTAAATTTTAAATTTTGAGTGTTTATTTGTAATTTTTAAAACTTTAAGCGTGTTTTCTATAAATTATTAATTCTGTAGGGGATATTTGTAATTCCTATATTTTCAATGTACGTACTGTTAGGTTGGAAATTATAAGTTTTTTTGTAAATTTTACAAGTTCGAGGGTTTTATTTTGTAATTTGTAAAAAGTTTAGAGTGCTTGTTGCAAATTCCGTAGATTTCCAAGGGTTATGTGTTTTATTTGTAGGTTTTTATTGTGTTTATAGATTTAAAATTTTCAAGGTGTTTTCGAATAAATATTGAATTTTTAGGGGTGTTTTTGTAATTTTCAAATCTTACAAGATATTTTTTCCAAAGTAAAAAAACTTTTAGTTTCTAGCTAGCAAATGTTTTTCAAATTTCTTACTGAATTGAAATAAGTAAAATTTGTAATTTTTAGGATGTTTCAATAAAAATTTGAATTTGTAAGGGTGTTTTTGCAATTTAAAAAGCTTGGAGGATATTTTTTATATAGTCCAAAAACTTTTAGGTGTTGACTAGCATATTTTTTTTAAATTTCTCTACAAACTTTAATAAGTAAATGATTTGAATTAGATCAAACGTATCTCCTTTATCCAATAACAAGTTAAGTCTCATTATGAATAGGATAAATCATTTAATTATCAATTCAAAGAAGATAGGATAATTTGAATAGATTAGAATAACAATGTAAAAATAATATTAAAAAAGTTAAGGGTAATATTGACTAATGAAAAGATTTTTCCGAACTCGTATTTTTAAAGGAAGTATATATATTCTCCTTATAGTTTCTTTTAATTATCTTTTCCTCGTGCAAAAGATATAGTGAGTAAGAAGCATATCTCTCTCTGCAAGAAATAAGGCAACAGTAACCAAACAATACTCAAGAAATCACCTAAGAGAGATGCATTTTGAAGAAAAGGAGCAAACACATACTAAATGTTTGGAATATTTTTCTTTCTGTAGTAAATCACAGTGTATCTTTCCATTTGATATTCATAATTCTCTCCATGGCAATAAAAAGGGGTATCACATTTATGTTCAAACCACATTAGAAGAAAATTCATCAGTTATTTCTACAATATCTCTCAGTTCTTTGCTAAGTAAGCTTTGTTCTCTTCTCTTACTTTGCTTTAGCATCTCAGTTCCAGTGAATTCTTTTTCTTATAAATGTTTCTTACATTTGTTGACACATAAGTTTCTGCAAAAAACAGCAATACATTCTAGTTAGTACACCAATTAAATCTTTCCCCCCTTGCTCATCTCATTGATCTTCTCATAGTCTTCCAAATGATTTTCTAAAATTTCATATTCTCCTCAAGCGAATAACGTTGACATTGGATCTAGTTATTTTCTAAATGTTTCATATTCTCCTTAATCGAATAATGTTGACATTGGAGTTAGTTATTTTCTAAATGTTTCATATTCTCCATAATCGAATAATGTTGACATTTGATTTAGTTATTTTAGTCATTTGCAATTCATAAAACCATAACATGCAACACCTAACTTTTTAAGCTTTGGCGCGCAAATGGATTCAAACAGATATTTATGAGAATCTGCACCTTTTATGTATTATTTATTTTTCCTGAAAAAAGTATATATGGTTACATGTTCATATTTGTAAATTCAAATTACATCAGAGGGCATGAAACATCAAACTCCTTAAGATTTGGCGCGTAAATAAATTCAAATAGATATTTATGAGGACACACGCCTTTTTCATAGTTTATGTTTTCTTGAAAAGAATGTATATATGTTACACGTTCATATTTGAAAATTCAAGTTACATCAAAGGGCAAACAACACCTAACGTCTTAAGTGTTAGCGCATAATTAATTGTAACAGACATTTATGAGGACACACCCACCTGCTTATATATGTTTTATTTTTTTTCCCTTACCTGAAATAATCAAATTTTGTGTGGTTTTTAAGGTGTTTTATGGCTTTATCAATTGTGGAAATATTTTTTTCAGCAATGGATAATCAATCAAAGAACATCCAAGAATCTATCGAAGAAGTAGCTGAGAATGATGTCAAGGTTTACAACTGCCCTCACCCTCACTGTACCCGAACATTTTACAGTTCTCAAGCTCTCGCTGGACACTGCAAGAGCCATCGCAACATTGATGATGAAATCCCAGATCAACAACATCGACATCAGACTGTTCAAGAAGACTGGCCACCAATAACTCTTGGACAATGCTTCTCTCATGATCCTGATGTCCATTACCATCACTATCATCAGCCTATTACTTCTCAACCCTCTAATACTAATGTTCCGAAATTGGCTTATGTTCCTTCTCAATCGGGCATCACTTTCAATGAGCCTTTTACTCATCCGACAAGGATTACTACTAACCCTAACCCTAATTCTACGAGCAGGGTTTATGATAATCAGCCTATTACTAACCCTAACCCTATAGCTAACTCTATCCCCATCCCCACCTATCATCAGCCTATTACTTCTCAATCATCTAATAGTGTTCGGAACCATGCTTATGCTCCCTCTCAAGCTCTCACTTTTTATGAGCCTTTTACTTACTCAACAAGGGTTACTACTAACCCTAACCCTAGCTCTATGAGCAGGACTTATGATCTCGGGTCGTCTTCTAGTGGGAGTAAAGAAAAAGGCAAGAATGTGGAGGAGAATAGTGAGGAGGAGCTTGATCTTACCTTGCGCCTTGGACGGTAAGCAAGCTAGAAGGGGCTAGAAATGTGCCTTCCAAAAATAAAACAAAAAATTTTCCTTAAGTTTTAGTTGTTGCATTATAGTTGTAGTAGTGAGAGTTTTATTTGTCAGGTATTGACGTTTGCAACAGGGGTGATGTATGATTAAATATGTTGACTATGGGGGTGTTTGGTTGCATTGTTTTCGAGAAATGTTTTCTCAAAAGTACTGGCGCATGGCATTTATGTAATTAAGAGTTTTCTATACATTTCTATAAACTGTGTTTGGCTCCAAAAAAATTTACAGAAATGTTTTCTTTAAAGTGCCCAAAAGTACCAAATTTTATGGAAATTGATTTCCTTCTAAAATGGGAGGAAATCTCTTGGAAATCTGACGCATTCATTATTTAAATAATAAAACTCATTAACTCTTTTCTATAAAGTTCTCACTTTTCTATAAAGTTGGTGGTGTTTGGTTACATTTCTATAAATTATAGGAAATGTTGCTATTTTCCCAAAAGTTATTTCTCATTTTCTTGTTTTGAACCAAACAAGCACAATACAAAAAATAAGAAAATTTGTACTTTTTAACTTCTCAAAACTTTTCCTATAATTTTTTTAAGAAATACAAGGAAATCAAATTTGGGATGGAAAACATTTCCTATAAACAAGGAAATCAAATTTGGGATGGAAAACATTTCCTATAATTTATAGAAATGTAACCAAACACCCCCTATATCCCAGATGTGTTTATCACCCAAATCATATATCCTGATTTAAATGCAACATTTTGAGCTTATGTCATTTATCGAGTGTGTTTTAGATTTCTCTTTCCTTCGTCCCTATTAAAACTTTCATGTACTAGCTAAAACTGATACAGACCTTCAATTGTTTGTGCAACAAACAAAAATATTTCAAAGCAAATACAATTTTGCATTTTGTAAAAGAAATTTACCAATTATCTGTCATGTCTATAATAAATTTCATACCTGAATATAATAAATAAGAATCCATATTTGACAACCCAGAAGAAAAACTTGATGTGAAAATTAATCTATACACGTACAACTCTGTAAAATATATGTTATTGCTTTTTTTTTTTTTTGGGGGGGGGGGGCACAAAAAAAAAATAATTTACTATATCTGGAATTTCCTATGTTGCATAAGTGCCATAATCTTAAGCTTATGATCACCAAAAAAATGATCCTCATTTTAGTAAAATCCACATTTTGCAGGCTCCAACAATATAACATCATATCTGCATGGCAATTAAACTCGAATAAAAGAACAACAGGAAACGAGTGTTGAAGATGAAAAATTAAAAAAAAAAAACTTACCCTAATGAGCAACATTTTTCGATGGAGATACATCCAACAATGCGGGCGTTTCATCGAAAAGCCCTTCATAATCCTCAGTATCCATTTTCCCAAACACCAACTCGATCCGAGAAAGATCTTTGGGCTCAGCCATTTCTTTCTTCAAGAGGTAGAGAGCGATGGCAATCTAGGGGTCAGGGCTTCGTATTGCCAGAAGAAGAAAAAAATTTGGTTTTTCTTCAATATTAGTCTCTTAAATCTTATTGGGGGCTAGGGTTTGGAGAGTGCTGTAGATGCCAGTGGACTGATTCCATCGGCGAGAGGGAGGGGTTTTCATTTTGTTTGGCCAGAGGAGATACCGGAGTCCTTGGCTTCATTTGGGTTTTTTTTTTCCGAGTAAAAACTACAAATTATGACTTGCGGAGGCAATGTCTGCTTTTAGTCCCACATCGCATGGCAGCAAAGAATAGCTACAGTCAAAATATAGTTGGGTGAATAACATTAAGGGCATGTTTGGATTTGTAGGGGGTGAATGGATGTTAAGGAAAACTGAGGGAAGGGAAGGGAAGGGAAGAGAGTTCTCTTCCCCTTGGTTACACCCCAATTTGGGGGTAACAAATTTTATACTATTAAGGGGTGAACCAAGGGGAACTAGGGTGAATTAACTTTACCTCCTAAGTGTTCCCAAACAAGGTGAATGGAGGTGAATGGTTCCCCTAACTTCTCTTCACTCTCATTCCCCTCAATCCAAACAAGCCCTAAGACTAGTCGTCAACACTGTACAAAAACTGCATATCATTTTTTTTACAGTAATCCCGATTTTTTAAATACTACAGTAACATCTTTAACTATTTTGCGCTGCTACAGTTCCCTGTTACAGAATTTATAAACCGTTTCAGTATCCCTATGCTACAGTAATTTTTAAAAATGATACAGCATCCAGTTTCCTATTTGCTACAGTAATAATACTATAATAGATAATGTAGCATAAATAGTGAATCCTGGGTTCTCCCATTTGTATAGAGGAGTAGATGCCCTGTTGTTTATCCAATGCTGCACATAAATACCCTCAACTGTATACAGCTTCGAAAAACAAGTGAGCGGGCTTCGGTTACTCAATTAAAATGGAGCTGGATTCCATTTATAGTGGTCAATATTTCTTTTTTGCATTTGAAGAATCCTTAAAAGGATACGCGACAACATCTATCCTCGGAAGCATAGAAGTGCTTAATTACTGCTCATTGAATTTAAGATAGTATATCATAAATACAAACTTGTGTCACTAATTTAGAGCTGCATCTAACATTTACCGATAACAAATAACTCAAACTAGTTGATCGATAACAAATAACTCAAACTAGTTGATCGATTATTATTGGATTGCATCCATTAACGCTCTATTCTCCTTCTCTCCAGATAATGATCCGCATTCATAATTGCCATTATGCTCATTGAGGAACTTCGTCAAACTTTCATCTTTTTCTATTTTTAACCCTCTTGAAACATGCATTCCATACAAAGAGTTCCCAAACCACCTAAGGCTAGGGTACTTCCACAAGAGGCCCAAAATAACAATTTGGCGAGTAATGATATGGATGGTAGCGGGTACGATCACGGTTGGTGGAAGGATAAACGTAACAGTCTTGGCGTCTTGCCATTGAATGCGAAGATAATTAGATGCTTCCATGCATGGACATGGCATGAGCATCGATGACGCCAATGAGAATGGATCAAATGGATCATATTGTGTTTGTCGGTTAGAGCTTTTCTCGATCAGCTGAACGCCTCCTTTCTATGGGCACTTTGACGCCCACCGAGTGCTCGTCTACAACTGAATACTTCGTCGCAGAACCTGCAGGAATACATTTTCTCAACTGAAGTACTTCCATTTTCATTTTCATTTTCATTCTGGAGTTCTTGATCATTGAATCCTTTATGATCTGAACCATGCTGAGACATGACTTCAGCGAAATTTCAAACTGGGAGGGAAAATAATAGACCAATTAGCGAGTGTGTTAATTCATGAAAATGAATTGGATAAAATTATCACATTTCTTGTCTATTTTTAATAAAAATGTCTGATTGCTTAGTTGACCCTTCATTTATTAGGATACAATGAATGCAAATTTAAAATAGAAATGTCAGTGTCAATGGCTTGGTTAATTAGTTAGGGATTAACTGTTTTAACTCCTAGGTTTTTTTTCCTGTTATATGTGATGACTGCCAAATTGGAAATCTTGTTCTCATTGCTAAGATGTTTAGTAAATGGAAAAACTAATAGATGATAACTAATCGAATTAACAAAGTGCCAGAAAAAAGAATAATCATCTCATATAGTTAAAAAGAAAAAGCAGGAGTATATGTTTAATAAATACAAGTCAATACAGAACTAGAAAAAAGATGAACATAAATTTATGGAACAATTGATCTTTACGCATATGGATCCAAAACAGAAAAATGAAATGAAAGAACAAAAAAAAGGGTATTAATTTCTAAATATTTTGGCCTGTCTACAACTTTTTGTTGTTTCTTTTCTGTCAATGCTGATTTTTGGCCAAATTAGAAAGTCTGATTGATCACCAGTTATAGTAATAAATGGAAATATGTAAAAGATAAACTGACAGTATCAGGGTATAGGTAAAACAATAACTAGATAAACAATCAAAGAGCTGTCTGGCGTATTTTAAACAACAATTACCGGTAAATATTACTAAATAAATTCTCACAAAGCTAGATAAGAGATAAACTTCAAACGATAAACATCTATAAAGAAGATGACTTACCTTCTCACTACTTTAAAGTTGAAGCTTAGGAAGAGAGAAAGGAAAAGGGACCAAATGTCTATTCTTATAGATGTAGATTGACTGAATATAGAAACATTTTATTTCTCAGGTTCATGCGTAACCATTAGAATGAGTTGGCTTTCCTTTTGTGAATATTCCTATCCCTGAATTATTAAAGTTTTCTAAATTTAAGGATGCATTTTTCTTGGTCATATGAATCTTTAAACTACATACCGTGTTTTATGGATATCATAATTGGCACAGTATTTTTTAAGGTGCAGATTTATTCCAAGGAATAATACGGTCATCCAATTTGTAAGTGTTTAAACTTAAGGTAATAGTAGCAGGCTGTGGCTCTTAGCATAGAGTCTCATCCTTTTTTTACTAAAAAAATTTGTTTAAACTTAAAGTGACGAATCAGGGATTCGTACATCAATATTTCATATCATAGTTAGATTGCTTATGCTGATAATTCGTTATACTCACTAAGTTCAAATATAAATTTTATAAAAACTAAATAAAACGTTATTCGGAATCAACTATATTCTGCATTGCTTTTTATCAGTTACAAGAAAATGCATAAAAGAACTTTCTTAATTGTCTGAAAATGTGTCTTCTAAAACACCAGGAAACTTTATATGCTTATTATTAAAGAGAAATATCTAGATCTAAATGGCATTGTCTTCATCGTGGTACTAATAAAATATTATCCTCAACCCTTCTTTCGCAGTGACTTCTCCCACTAGCTTCTAGAAGTGTAAGATGTTACCCTCTCCATGACAAGTATACAATGGATAATGGACGATGTAAGGGCGATTTCAACAGAAGAAAACATGGGTAGTATCTATCCTATCCTTAGCTTAGATTTGACATTGCAAGTTTGGTAATGGCATGTGAAAAGAGAGAAATTTCAGAATGCATCAGGAGCAAAATGAAGCTCCAGGAGAAGTAATCTAAGGAAATGACGTTTGAGATGTTCCCCTGCAATTGCCTTCTTTCCGTTACTATTAAAAGTCTTCCCTACATAATAAATGAAATCAGGATATCTCTTGCAGCTGCTCACGAAGCAAAGATCCTAGGGCCTGCTGCTTCAAACGAATTTTTCAATGTGAGTACTACTTTAACTAGTTAATAAATTCCAAGAATATATCAATTCAACCAATATGATTTATATATTCAAAAGTTAGTGATCTTTGATAATGCTAAGGGGGTTGACGCCTGTTGCATTTTATAAATGTAATACAGATACCCCATAGGTCCCATGGCGGGGTGATGAACCCTATACAATGATGACGATGTTAACGGGAAAGAAAATACAAGGAAAGATGGACATATTAGGAAATCCAGCATCACTGATGGCTTGAGAGGATGTAAATAGTTGCCAAGTGACATTGCCAAGGCACAAACCTGAGGTACATCAAAAACACATTTCCTAGCATCAAAGTTCAAGCAGTGAGAGGCAGGGGAAAAGACTTAAAAGCTCCAAAGTAGTTAGTCATCACATTCGAATCAGTGTTTCCTGACATGTCTATTTTCCAAATGATAAACCTACTAGCAGTGAGAGGCAGGGGAAAGGACTTAGAAGCTCCAAAGACTAATTTTAGGAAATCTTTAGTTGGCAAGAGAATTAAGAAAACTAATGAATAGCAAACCCAACGCTTATAACTAAAAACTAAAATGGTCAGTTTCGCTCACAATATACAACAAGCTGCTCTCATATTCTTGCCAATATAGATATTACAGAAAAATCACAAACCTGAAAATGCCAAGTGCAGCCCCTTTTGCATTGCAACACTTCTCTGAAAAAGCACCATTACTTACCTGACTAGCACTACAATTACATGGACCAAATAAAAGTAAAAACAGAAGATGAATAATCTCTGTTCCTGACAAATTATACAAGATAAAGTCAATACCAGCAGTCGTATGAAATGCAGGTCTGAGTTTTGCAAGGCCTGCCATAGAGGTGTTTGGACGGATTCCTTCATCCACAGAAACTGTAATTTACTTTTCTTCTCAAGTTTTTTGGTCAACAATCTTCATGATGAAACATTGCGTGAAAGAAACAAATAAAAGCACAACAAGAAGCGATAACTTCTTAAGCAAACTGTAAACTAATAAATGCTGTCTTAATCTTCGTGAACTAGTAAAGGTTGCGTTGTCACTGTCATATAGGAGATTATACAACTAATAAATGCTATGTCTTAATCTTCGTGAACTAGTAAAGGTTGCGTTGTCACTGTCATATAGGAGATTATACTCTGGAAAATATCAGGAGAGAAAAGACTAAGTCAAAGAAAAGTAAAATCTAACTTTTGATATTCTCATCATTTGTATCATTGAGGACTTTCCAGAAATTACGATGATTTAAACTTGTGAAGTTTGTTGAAACAACAGGTGTTACATTATCTCAAGTGTCTATTCTTGGATCTCTCTTACCCATTTATCAATGTCAGTAGAAAACAAGACAAACTTTGTTTACTATATGTATATATTATTGACACTTTAAACTGTGTTGACATAGACATCGAATCACTAACGATGATAAGTGTTGTAATACTATCGGTTGCTGCCAAGTCCTGACTCCAAATTTGCTGAACATAAGGTATAGATCGCATCCTCTCTTTCAACTGATCATTTGCATGGCTTACTGACCTCAAGTGTGTAGTTATAAAACTAAAGTCATGCCCAATTCTCAGAAAAAAGACAAGAATAAAATAAAAGGAACACTAATTATTATTCAAAAGAAAATAGACATTTACTTTGAGGTTACAGGTATGATTTCTTCCTTAAAGTTACCAGCGGTAGTTGCTGCTGCAACCCTCTTATAGACTCAACCTGATAACAGAGACAAAAAGTAACAAATTTTTTTATGAATTAGACTTGCTTAAATTTAATCAACAGCATACATTATTAAGGAAAATGCAACTATGGAACCTGCTCCTCTCGAGTGACCCCAAAACAGTGTGCAACATTTTCAGAAGTGATACCCGCTGTGTTTGTTTATCAAGAAAATGTTTAACCACACTATAATACAAAGAATGGACAGAACTTGAAAAACAAGTAGGAAAGTACTCACGCAGTAGCAGTCAAGCTTCCACCAAACGTCAACCTCAACGGCTCAACCCTACCCTGATCGGCTGATCCCCACCTCTCGTCAATCTCTCTCTTCTTCCCTCTCCATCTCGAGATCGCCGCAGCCCGGCAGCCGTTGCTGACAACCTCACCGAACCAATCGCTGTTAGCCCGTTACCGCTCACGGCTCACCTCCTGCGCCTTATGCCTTTGCACTCGAGGGCCAATCTCCGTCTCGTCGTTAGAAAAGGGCTGCATCCAGACCTAAGTTATTTTCCCAAAACAAACCCCGTTTCTATCTTTCTAACTAAACCTATTTAATTTTCTTTATTATTCATATTAATTTTATGCTTAATTAGAGATATTGTAGATATACATTGAAAGCTTTTTATTTGCTATTTTATATTTTGAAAGCATGCCTAATAAAAAAATATGAAAGTGGTTGTCAAAAATTGAAAAAAAGAAAAAGAGTTGAAAAATTAATTCGATCTCAACAAGGAGCTCTTGATAAATTTGTTTTTAGTAATAAAGATAATGTTACATCAACTTCAACAGAAGAAAGAATAGATGAATCTTTACTTGAGAATGAATTAGAAGAATATGTTGAGAATTTAGGATAAAATAATGATATTAACGATAATATATTCAAGAAGAAAAAGCTAGTACTCCTAATTTTAATGAAGAATATAAAGAAAATTCACATGAGGGCCAAGAAAAAAATTTAGAGATGAATGAGATATCAAATTCAATTCTTATCAATATTTATGATCGAGGGCCAAGAAAAAAATTTAGAGATGAATGAGATATCAAATTCAATTCTTATCAATATTTATGATCCTCGACAATGGAAATGTATTGATCAAATTTTTTTAGATCTAATAGTTGAAAAAGATCCAATTAAATATGAAGAAATAGATTTTCCTACAGATGAAAATAATACACTTTTCTACATCATATTACATACAAAAATTATCCAATGGAGAAAAACATGAAAGAAGGTAGTTAGTTTACTCAAAAGATTTAGATAAAGTTTATTGTTTTTGTTGCAAATTATTTAGTTTAAAATCTAGTATAAGTCAGTTAGTTAACGAAGATACTAGAGATTGGAAAAATTTTGGATATAAAATTAAAATCATGAAATAAGTCATGAACATATCACTAATATGTGTAAATGAGTGGATTTAGAAGTAAGATTACAAAAAAATAAGACAATAGATAAAAACATTCAAGAACAAATTAATAAAGAAAAAGAACACTGGAAATTTTTTTTGCTAAGACTTATTGCTATAATAAAACATCTATCAAAAATAATCTTGCATTTCGAGGAACAAAAGAAAAGATATATGAAAAAAAATAATGAAAACTTTTTAAGCTTAGTTGAAATGATAGCGGAATTTGATCCAATAATGCAACATGTTAAACGTATTCAAGAAGGTGAAATTCAAAATCATTATCTTAGTCATAAAATACAAAATGAACTAATAGAGTTGCTAGCTTCTAAAATTAAAAAAATGATCACTAAAAAAATTAAAGAAGCAAAATATTTTCTATTAAAAAAATGATCATTAAAAAAATAAAAGAAGCAAAATATTTTCAGTTATCATTGATTGTACTTCAGATGCAAGTCATCAAGAACAAATGACTCTTATTTTAAGATGTGTTGATACTTCAACAAGTCCAATAAAGATTGAAGAATATTTTTTAGAGTTTTTAAAAGTAGGTAATACTTCGGGAAAAGGCCTTTTTGATGAACTTTTAAATATTTTGAAAAAATATGAACTTGATGTTAAAGAAATAAGAGGACAAGGTTATGATAATGGATCTAATATGAAAGAAAATACAATAGAGTACAAAAGAGGCTATTAGATATAAATCCTAGAGCATTCTACACACCATATGGTTGTTATAATTTAAATTTAGTCTTATGTGATATATCTAATTCATGTCCTAGAGCTATTTCTTTTTTTGGAGTGTTGCAACGTATATACTCATTGTTTGCTTCCTCTACTAAACGTTGGAAAATTTTAGGAGATAATGGATGCAAGTTATCCGTTAAATCTTTATCTCAAACTAGACGGGAAAGTCGGATTGAAAGTGTTAAAGCAATAAAATTTTAAGCTCCAAATATAAGAGATGTTTTGATTCAATTAGCAGAAATTAGTGAAGATCCAAAGATAAAAAGTGAAGCTAATAGCTTAGCAACTTATGAGATTGAAAATTTTGAATTCTTATTAGCTATGAATATTTGGTATGACATATTGTTTGTTGTTAATTCAGTTAGTAAAATCTTACAATCTAAAGATATGCATATTGATATTGCCATAGATAAATTAAAGGGTCTTATTGTATATTTAAAAAATCATAGACAAAATGGTTTTATGTCTGTTTTGAATTCAACTAAAGAACTTGCTAATGAAATGAACGTACAACCTATATTTCGTGAAAAACGTAAAATTCATAGAAAAAATAATTTGAGGAAAATATTGGTAATGAAAAAATATTTAACGCTGAAGAATCTTTTCGTATTGAATATTTTTTATACATAGTTGATAAATCGCTTGGCTAAATTGAAAGTAGGTTTGAATAATTTAAAACGTATGAAATTTTTTTTGGTTTTTTGTTTGATTTGAAAAAATTAAAAGCTTTAGATGATATTGAATTGAAAGAATATTGTCTTAATCTCGAAAATGCACTAAAACATGATGAATATTTAGATATTAATGGACTTGATTTGTTTTCAGAATTGAGAGTGTTTGGAGAAATTTTAAAAGTAGAGATTAATAGTCCAATTAAAGTGTTGAACTATATAAAGTGATTAGATTCTTTTTCAAATACTTGTATTGCTTATCGTGTATTATTGAGTATACCCGTAACAGTTGCTTCCGCTGAAAGAAGTTTTTTAAAATTAAAATTACTAAAATCTTATTTAAGATAGACCATGTTAAAAGATAGATTGAATGGTTTAGCAATATTATCTATCGAAAATAATATGTTAGAAAATATTGAATATAAAATTTTAATTAGTAATTTTGTAGCTCAAAAGATAAGAAAAATGAGAAAAAAAATATTATGAGTTGTATCACTTGGGCATCATCTAACATTTCGCCTTGGGCCCCAAAATTCCTACGTACGGCCCTAAATGCAACGCATTTCTCCCTAGAAAACATTATTATCATAAAGCACCAACAACGGCAAAATGCTTCTGCAGATTTATTGAGAACTTGTCTCTCAGTTTAAAAAAATAACAAAATTTACTATGCATATTAAGAAAATGGAACTACTCAAGAAGCAATACGTGTAAAACTACCATCAAAGACTTTTCAGGCAATACTACCCTCCCCNCACACCCCCCCCCCCCCCCCCCCCAAAAAAAAAAAAAAAAAAGAAGACAAAACCTACAATTAGGGACCCTAATTTGGAGAGAAGAAACCAAAGTTATTATTTGGATAAATTTTCAAAACCAACCTATTTAGCAACTTAATTACAAAAAATGACATATTTGTAATTTAATTATTTAAATCGACTCAGTTTTAGCCAGTTGGTTGAAACTGGGTCGGTTTTGATAAAAAAAAGTTATGAAAATTTACGGGACTCAAAGTCCCATGAAGTTTAACAACGCGATTAAACTTCACGACACTTGAAGTCCCATGAAGTTTCGTAAATTATTTCAACAAAATCGATCCAGTTTCAGCCAGTTAGCTAAAACTGGATCGATTTTGTGTTAGGGTACACACCAATAATAATGCCTCGAATGGAGACGCAATACACGGAATAAAGACACAAAAACAATCATAGTACTCACAGATATACGTGGTTCACTCCTTCGGAGCTACTCTACGGTGCAGCGACGACGCTAAATTCTTTTATATCCCAAAAGAATAGATCAAAGAGAACACCCTCTTTTGATCAGATATACTCCAAGAACTCTCACAATCTCTCTCTGTGTTTTCTCTCTTACTCTTCTACAAGAGGAGTTGTTTCTGGAATGAATTTTCCTAAAAAGTTTAGGCTCTATTTATAGTGTTTGGGAAATACTATGCACAAATAAAATATTATCAGTGGAACCCGCTACTAATAATACAATATTTGTGGGATCTACATCCTTTATAAATTCTCAAAAATAACTGCCACCGAATTTGAGTTTTCTTCTTGTGGGGCTCGTCTTTGTTGGTCCCACTTTTGTGTTGTTAGGCTGACAATCTCCCACTTAAAGATTTGATTGAATATTAATCATATCTTCACATCCTTCTTGGTTACATCATCCGGATGTCTTGTATCTTTAGCGTCTTACACGACCCTCAACATTCTCAACGGATGCCATATGAGACTGCACACAAGCTCACCTTCTCGAGCGGAACTGACTTGGTTAGCATATTAGCTGGATTGTACCTCGTATCAATTTTCACAAACTTAAACTCGTTCCTGTTTTGCCATCTTCGTATGGCATGGTGTTTCATGTCAACATGCTTGGTCCGAGCATGGAATTCGTTATTTTCTAACAAGTGAATGGAACTCTGACTGTCGCAGTGGATGAAGTATTTCTCAAAGCTTACTCCAAGCTCGAGAAGAAAAGCCTTCAACCATAACTCCTTTGCTGTCTCTGCTGCAGACACGTACTCCGTTTTGATTGTCGACAAAGCCACAGTACCCTGTAATTTGAATCTCCAACTTATCGCTCCACCACCCAAGATGAAGATGTAGCTGTTAGTGCTCCTTTTTGAGTTTATATCCCCGACGTAGTCTGCATCACAAAATCCCTCTAGCTACAAATCCACCCCGTCATGCTTAAGACAACGATCGGACGAGCATCTCAAGTAGTGTAGAAGCCACTTGACTGCACGCCAGTGTTGTTTTCCTGGATTGCTCATAAAACGGCTCACATCTCCCACTCCTTGTGTAATATCTGGTCTCGTGCACACCATCGCATATATCAAACTCCCGACGGCAGATGCGTATGGTATGTTGGCCATAAACAAATGCTCTTCAGTAGTCTTTGATGCTTGGGTCTTTGATAGCTTGAAATGGCTTGTAAATGACAAGACCACCGTTTTAGCTTTCTCCATACCAAACTTATTAAGAATCTTCTCAATATAGGCCTTCTGAGACAACCTCAACCTCTGTGCTGATCTGTCTTTGATAATCTTCATCCTAAAAATCTGATTTGCTGGACCCAGATCCTTCATCTCGAAGCACTCGGAGAGACGCCTTTTGAATTCCTTAATACGGGCCAAGTCGGGCCCTACAATCAACATGTCATCAACATAAATCAAGAGTATCACATATGATTCGTCATATCTCTTGATGAAGCAGCAATGGTTTGTGTCGCATTTGAGAAAACCGTTCTCCTCCATAAAGTTCTCAAACTTCATGTACCATTGTCACGAAGCTTGCTTCAGGCCATACAAGCTCTTACGCAGGCGACACATGAGGCCCTCCCTGCCTCGTTCCTCGAAGCCCACCGGTTGATGCATATAGATCTCTTCCTTCAAATCTCCATGAAGGAATATCGTCTTCACATTCATCTGCTCTAGATGGAAATTTCGAACTGCCACAATGATCAGCACAGTCCGGATCGTGGTCAACTTGACGATGGGAGCGAAAATGTCAGAATAGTCTATCCATGTTTTCTGCTCATATTACTTCACTACAAGCCTCACCTCGTAGCGTCTCCGTCTATCCGGCTTCATTATTGACCCGATAAATCCACCAATTGTGAAGAGTCTTTCTCCCTCTTAGAAGCTTTACGAGCTCCTAAGTCTCATTCTTCATCAAAGACTTCATTTCTTCCTCCATGGCAGACTCCCACTCGCCCCGAGCTTTATCGGTCCGCTATACCTCCTTATAGCTCTTTAGCTCATCATTGTCAGTCAGGAGGAGATAATTCATGGGGAAAATGTACCTCTCTGGCACCCTTAATTTCTTGGAGCTTTACGAATTGCGATCGCCAGCTCTGCTGGATCCTGTTGCTGTGCATCTGGCACGTCTTCTTGGTCTCCGTCTTCTATACTAACTGGTACCTCACCGTTGTCCTTACTGTCGGTAATATTTGGAAAAAAAGGGGGAGATAGCCGACTCTCACTCACTTCTTTAATCTTGTACACTGTATTCTCATGGAACACGACGTCACGACTGCGCACCACCTTGCACATAGCGTGATCCCAGAAACGATATTCATACTCATCTCCTCCATAGCCGATGAAAGAGAGCTTCTTTGACTTTAGATCAAGCTTTAACCGGTCTGCAGGATTGATCATGACATAGGCATCACAACCAAATACTCGTAAGTGCTCTAGCTTCAGCTTCTTTCCGATCCAAGCCTCCTCAGGTATCCCATAACTGAGAGCTACGGATGGCCCGCGGTTGATCGAGTATGCAACAGTATTGACAGCTTCGGCCCAATATCTCTTGGGCAATCCGGAGTGAATCCTCATACTTCTGGCGCGCTCCAAGATAGTGTGATTCATATGCTCCGCCACTCCGTTGTGCTGAGGTGTTCTTGGGACGGTCTTCAGTCTCTTAATCCCATGGACGAGCAGAAGTTCCCGAACTTCTGGTTGTAATACTCACCTCCATTATCAGACTTAAGGCACTTCAGCTTATTGCATGTTTCGTTCTCCACACAGGCAAGTCACTTCCTGAAGATAATGAAAACATCTGACTTGTGCTTCAAGAAGAACACCCATAATTTTCGAGTAGCATCATCAATAAAAGTGATAATGTAAAGAGAATTTCCAACAGATTGGACTTGCGCAGGTCTCTACACGTCGGTGTGCACCAACTCTAATTTATGTAGTTTTGGAGCCGACCCGATCTTGTTGAAACTCATCTTTTTTTGTTTGCCTAGGATGCAGTCCTCACAGAAAGTCAGATCGACCTTGTTCAGACCCGAAAGTCTTTCTACCACGGTCATAATCTACATCCCCTTCTCGCTCATGTGGTCAAATCGTCGATGCCAAGTCATGCAATCGACGGATGATGATGATGATGCTTGTCCTGCGACAAGCAAGCGGTCGATCTTCCCATTGGCGATGTAGAAAGACCCCTCGCGTTTGCCGCGTGTCACCACCAGAGCAACTTTGGACAGCTTCCAACTTCCATGCTCAAAGGACACTTTGTAACCGGAATCAGTCAATTGCCCGACTGATATAAGATTCCGCCTGAGATCCTATATATGTCGAACATCTTTCAGTGTCAAGGTGGTCCCGCCCTCCATCTTGAGGGTACAATTTTCCTTCCCGAAAACTTTACAAGATTGATCGTCCTAGGATAGATTGTTCCCAAATCCTTCACGAACGATAAAAACAGCTTTTGTTATGAGGTTGCATGGAAAGATGCGCCATAGTCGATGACCCACGCATCACTTTTGTCTTCAAGAGATAAGAGAAGCGCATCTGAATCCGTCTCGTACATGAGATTGGCTACAGTGTCAGCCCGATCATCCCCTGCTGATGCTGGAACAGAAACTCTGCAGTCCCGTGCAAAATGATCTAAAGCACTTTCCTTCACTGTAATCATTCGGGTTCGGCCCTTTAGACTTCCCTCTGGATTTCGATTGGCCTCGTTGTCCCCCACCATTCTTCTGCGCACGCCCTCGTGCCTCGACATGCAGAGCACTCCCACTGCTAGAGGCCTCAGCTCTTGAGACTTTACGGTAAGATTCTTCATCCAGAATTATCCCAATCACCGTGTCGAACTTCATCTTATCATTGTCATTGGCGTTGCTCACCACCATCACCATATTCTCCCTCGAATCTGGTAGGCAAAAAAATAACAGAAGAGCTTGGATCTTATTGTCAAACTTGAGATCTACTGCAGTAAGCTGTTGCACCACAACCTGAAATTCGTTCAAAAAGTCCGCCACACGAGCTCCTTGCTGCATCTTTAAGTTGAATAGCATCTTCATCAGGAATACCTTATTTGAAGCAGACGGCTTCTCATACAGCGCCTCCAAGGCCTCCATCAACTCCTTGGTGGTGGTCTCATGCGAGACGTTGTAAATCACATGCTAGTGAAGGTTGAGCCTGATGGTGACAAGTGCTTTACGATTGAGCATCTTCCACTTATCATCGTCCATCTTTTCAGGTTTCCCCGCCTCTCTTTGGAGGGGTAGAAAGAGATCCTTCTGGTACAAACAGTCTTCTATTTGCATCCTCCAATACCTAAAATTTTGGCCGCCGAACTTCTCAATTCGAAGCCTATTGTCTTCAACTGTAGATCTCATGGCGAAATATTATGTTTTTCCCGTATTCGTGAATAGTACAGTATTCGTAAATAGTCCCATACATGTGAATAGTACTTAGTGCCTTAAAAGAGTAAATAATAATCTAATTTATTTTCTGATGTGAAGGTTCCACTTTTAGTGGCAGTCATAGAGCATACGATGATCAGAGCCAGTTGTTAAGGTACACACCAATAAGCACAAAATCAATCACAGTACTCATAGATATATGTGGTTCACTCCTTCGGAGCTACTCCACAGTGCAATGACGACGCCAAATTATTTTATATCCCAAAAGAATAAATCAAAGAGAACACCCTCTCTTGATCAGATACACTCAAAGAACTCTCACAATCTCTCTCTGTGTTTTCTCTCTTACTCTTCTATGAAAGGAGTTGTTTCTGGAATGAATTTTCCTGAAGAGTTTAGGTCCTATTTATAGTGTTTGGGAAATACTATGCACAAATAAAATATTATTAATAGGACTCGTCACTAATAATAAAATATTTACGGGACCTACATCCTTTATAAATTCTCAATGGCTGCCACCGAATTTGAGTTTTCTTCTTGTGGGGCCCGTTTTTGTGGGTCCCACTTTTGTTTTGTTAGGCTGACATTTTGGCAATTAAATTCGAAATGAGTCGATTTGTACGATTAAGTTTCAAAATGGGTTGGTTTTGAAAATTTGTCCTTGTTATTTTTATACACAGTGAATATAAAAAAAATACTCACCCATTTCGTGCCTCGCTGCGCTTTAACCTCCTCTTCTTCTTCCTTTTGTGGAATGCCCCCCAACAAAATCTCTGCCGCCTCGAACCCCAAAACCCTAATAAGATTTTTCTCAAACTAACTTAAATAACATAAAAAACCCTAAAATGATCACGATTACGCTTACTTTGAGATCCTTTTCGGGCCTCGATTTTTCTCTTTTTTTCCATCTTCGTCTTCGTCTTCGATCGCTGCGAATGAATTCAGACCTTGCCTCTAGCTCGCGGTTTCGGGAGCAATCTGGTTGCGGGCATGGACCCGTTACGATGGAGGCCCGAATAAGAAGGCCCAGAATAGTCTCTGGGCCTTTTTTGGTAATACTGGGATGCTATGAAGAGGAGTTCGTAAGCTCAAATTTACTTTCTTATCCCTGGGCGTCACTTTTACGCAGCCGAGTATATATCTCACGCGTATATTCTACGCGAGTATTCTCCACGTATATCTTACGCATATCATACGCGTTTTTTCCCCTGCTTATAAATAAGCGTCATTATATTTCTTTTGAGTAATTTTAATATCGTAGAGAAGGTAGCTTTCCATCTAGGATTTACGGCCTTGGGGTTAGAAGTTCTTATTTTTTTTAGTCTGGGATCGAAATTTAGGGTTTTGTTGAAATCTAAAAGTCATTTTGTGGAAACCTAAAAGACAAAATGAATGTGGACATTACATTGAATGTGGAATATTAATTAGTGACTTTTCATATATCCAAATGTCCTTTTATTTTCCACAATGTATCTATAAATTGGATGATGTATGCAAAAGAAGTAGGATGAATTAAAATTATAATTTCTCTATTTCTCTTGTCTTTTGTCTCTTGTTTGATTTCTTTAATATATTACAACACGTTATCAGCACGAAAGCTCTAGCTAGCCGGTTCGTAATCGTCCGTTGGTGGTAAGAGATATTTCGGTGTACACCTCTTACGAGGTAACAATTTCCACATTATACTTTCTTATTTTGCTTTTATTCTGATTCAGATGATAATGAGGTTTCTGCTAAAATGATATAAACCAGTCTTAATTTGTAAGAAAATCCAGCTCCAGAAATAGTACATATGCAGCACTTTTTGCTACAGTTAAAAACATAAAGTGTGTTCCAATAAAAGAATATGAAGGGTCATAAAAAGAAAATTTACACTTATGAATAGAATTGTCTGTAAACAACGCAAAAGGAATACAAAAAAAAAAATGGCATTTGTCAATCAGCTCATTGTACCCTGTGAACTGAACCCCACATGTGAAAGAGTTAAATATACTTCCCACACAAAAGAAGATAAAGGTTAAAAATAGGCAGCATGTTGACCAATTCTGATGAAACCAAAAGGAGTGAGTATACCTTTTTGGTGACCAATTATCATGCAATTCACATCCTTTATTACAGCACTAACTTCTATGCTTTAACCCAAAGTATTACAATATATGGAATCAAGTTTCATTGATAGTACTACATTCCAACAACATAATAGTTTACCATGTGAAGGTGATATTAGATGTCCACCTTAATATTAATATTTCGGGTGAGATATAGTGAAGATCTATATCAAAATTATTAAGCTATGACCTGACTTGTTATGTTGATATTTCACATCATGTAAAATATATGGCACTTCCCCGCTGGATACTCACAACCTGCAAATATTAGGTAACCGTGTCATGTAGGCCGTGTAACTTATTAATTCTTATAACAAGTATTTGATTAAGGCAATAATATATGTTATGCAAAAAGTTAATCTGATTTATTTATATCATATGACAAAGTCATTTTTTTTTTTACATGGGGATTGACCAGTAGAGAGGATAGAACCTAAGCTACATATAAACAGGGATGTGGAAAGTGGGAACAGGAACAAAGTACAAGGCATTATAAGTTCTTTATGTTTATATCGCTTCAACCAGCTTTTTATGCATGTGTGCAGAAGCATACAATATTCTAGAATGACGATACTTCTCATTCTATATTGTCCATGTTTAGCAATTAGTCATGAAACATGATTATTCTAACACAGCTCCTTGTTATTTACTCCCTGATATACAAAGGTAGATATGATGTACTAATTGCTTTGCTAATAGTCATTATGCTACACCAGCCACTTGAATGGAACTAGAGGTAAATTTGACAAATAAAAAGTCGTAGTTCTTATAATCTAGTATGATGGGTGGTAAAACGAAATTGTTAAGCTCTCTGTTCTGTGGATAAGTTACAAAATAAAGTAAGTAACCCATAAGGTTTCTTATGACAATGGATATTTGATGCTTTTGCTTTAAATATTCTATTTGCTTACTTGAAGTAAAATCTAAGCCTCATAAAAACTTGAAATTAAGTTGTGGGTTTTTAAAGCTCAAGTTGGCGTCCTTAAGTAGTCCAATTTTTATTGCTAATTGCACTGATTTTTCTTCTCCACTGAAATTATGCAAGTTTCTATCCAAAATTACATTAGTGGTGTTTTGAATCTGGCAACCTTAAGTTTAGAAGAAAGGATTGCACAAACTGGTTATATCTTTGTTTATTTTCTACTTGCTTGAGTTTGTGATGGTCATTGATCGTCCGAGCATTTAAAATTTTGTGTGAATTATAATATTAGACTAGTTTGCCAGAAGCAAACATTTGAAAGATAACATTTATTAAGATCTTTAGAAAAAGGAGCTTGATGATTTTGGTGATTATGTGTGATCTTACTACAATGTGAATATTTCTAATTACTCATGCACTAATATTTAGTCCCCATGATTAGTGCATTGTGATTTTTGCATGATTATATTTTTTGATTCTTTTAGTATCTTTGCCCAGAAGGCAAACACTTTAAATTTTCTCTCTATCAATTAAGACGTGAAAAATTGATGCCTCATTGAAAAAGTATTCACTTTTTCTGGGCATTCCCTGAAGGATCGCTTTGATCTATGAAAGCCAATAATCTTTCCTCAAGTGCAACTGGCAGAGTGAATCAGAACTTTTTGGATTTCAAATACATGACTAAATATGATTCAGCTCTGTACCACATTATTTAGCAGCTGAAACTCTGTAAGCAGAACATTACAGACAGTGATAAAATTGATCAAAAAGTTTTTTCCCCATTCCACGCAAATAATATTGTACTCCAGCAGCAGTACATGACTAAGAATTACACTTAGCATTCTGAATTGATATCTACATTAGTAGTCGCAGAGAAGCACAAACAATTGATGATTAGAAATCACAATGTTAGATTAGTTGGCTTACGAGTTGTGCTATAATTCAGAAAATTACTTATACGCGTGGATAAGGGGGAGACTATGAACATAATAACCCTGTACTCTTGCAGTAGTACAAGACTAAAAATTATATTAAGCATTATGAACTAATCCTTGCATTAGTAGTTGTTAAAAAACAACACAACCAGCTGTTGTGAGAAGCCATAATGCAAGTTTAATTGGTTCACTCGTAGTGCCTGAAGCACATGTCATAATTCAAACTAATACTCATAAACTTGGACGAGGGAAGGTATTGGACATTGAAGTGGATTTTATCGAGGTGGTCAAGGTAAACTATTTAGTTTTTCTATATTTGAATTATATGTATTTGTCAGACAATTTTAATTTATCTTGAGTTTGCTTTAAACTCATGAGATTCTATGTGGCTTTTATTCATATGTGTATAATTTAGAATTTGTCTGACCTAAAATACATCATGTTGCGATATGTTTAAGATTTAGTGACCCAAATTCGTTTAAATTCTGGCATGAGCGATTGGGTCATCTTGGGCATAATATGATTTGTCGGATTTCCTTAAATTAAATGGGGGCATTCAAACCAAATCTGACCTACTGCTGTAGGCTGTCTAAAAATCACAATAGATAGCTTATCCCCCATCAACCACCGATGATGGAAGTTACAATCTGACGACTTCCAGAAGGCTGTAATCTGACGACCTTCACGACGACGGATGAAAACTCTATTCAGCAGTCTTCACAATCTACAGTGAAAGTTACAATCTGACGACTTTCACACTCCACAACAGTTAAAGCCAGGATTACTGAACAACGGTCCTTGCAATGCACCACAGAAGAAGCTACAAGTCAAATAGCTCATTCTGAGACGCGGATGTCATCCCCGCGTCACCACTTTGGAAATGTGAGCGACCCTCGCGTCGCCAAGCCACGGCGACCCTCGCGTCGCCAAGCCACGGCGACCCTCGCGTCGTCAAGCCACAGCGACCCTCGCGTCGTCAAGCCACAATGCACAAGCCAAACGTGAGCGACCCTCGCGTTCAATGGTGTTCAACCAACAGCGACCCTCGCGTCGACAATGCACAAGCCAAACGTGAGCGACCCTCGCGTTCAATGGTGTTCAACCAACAGCGACCCTCGCGTCGACAATGCACAAGCCAAACGTGAGCGACCCTCGCGTTCAATGGTGTTCAACCAACAGCGACCCCCGCGTCGACAATGCACAAGCCAAACGTGAGCGACCCTCGCGTTCAATGATGTTCAGCCAACACCCAACCTCGCGTCTCAATTCAAAGACGCGAGGTTAGGGTCCTGAACGCCAACGTGGGCGTTTGACTCATTCAACATGAGTTGAACGGTTCTTAAACCGTTTCCCACGATTTGGGAGCGGTTACACCCCACTTAGGAGAGATTTAAGGGGCGATTTCACCCCCTTAATCCTCTATAAATAACTGAAGATCAATTCAGTTCGGGCTCTCTTTGGGTGGGAGATTTTCTAGTTCCAAGAACTGTAAGGAGGCTTCTCTTTTCCGGTTGGAATCTTCTTGGCTTGGATCGACCACTGGAGACAAGCTTTTGAGGAGATCGGCATCATCTCCCAACGAAGATCAACACGTTATCAGCACGAAAGCTCTAGCTAGCCGGTTCGTAATCGTCCGTTGTGGTAAGAGATATTTCGGTGTCACACTCTTACGAGGTAACAATTCCACATTATACTTTCTTATTTTGCTTTTATTCTGATTCAGATGATAATGAGTTTTCTGGCTAAAATGATATAAACCAGTCTTATATTGTAAAGAAATCCAGCTCCAGAAATCAGTACAATGCAGCACTTTTTTGCTACAGTTAAAACTAAAGTGTGTTCCATAAAAAGAATATGAGGGTCATTAAAGAAAATTTACACTTATGAATAGAATTGTCTGTAAACAACGCAAAAGAATACAAAAAAAAAAATGGCATTTGTCAATCAGCTCATTGTACCCTGTGAACTGAACCCACATGTGAAAGAGTTAAATATACTTCCCACACAAAGAAGATAAAGGTTAAAAATAGGCAGCATGTTGACCAATTCTGATGAAACCAAAAGGAGTGAG